AAAAAAAAAAAAAAAGACTCAGCTTCCACTCTGGGTGGCGGACACTTACCAGTGAGTTTCATATCCCAGCAAGGAAAGCTGAGATAGCTCCAAATCTTGCTTCCTATACATGGCATCAAAAAGAGAAACTCAAAGAAGTTTCTCAGAGGGCAAATGGTCAAAACACAGAGAATATATCCACTCTACAACTAACAAAAGGAAGGGGGCAGCCGTCCCAAAGATAACGGAGTGGTTGTGGCATGTCACTCAATGCCATCGGATGCTCCAGCAGTCCCTGGAGAGAGGCTGCCCACTTCCCTGAGGGTGCCAGTTATTTTACCACCAACACAAGAAACATAATAGCACCTTCCCATGTGACTCATCACCACTTCCAAGTCCTGAGTGCGAAAAGCACTCAATAGTGGAAGGCCTAAGTGACATTTCTACCCATCTACCCTCAAAATATTCAATTAATTCATTATCCAAAATAACCCCCAAGTTCTGAATACCATCTCTGCAGATATTAGAAATACTACAGACATCTACAGAGCTTTAATTAGCAGATAAATCTGCTATCATTTGAGACATGTGTTTCATATAGAAAATCACTTTTTTTTATGTTATTTCTTATTTTCTAAAGCAACCCAGTAGTGACTTTGTAAAATGAAGCCTATGTCTCTAAACATCTGAATTTCATAAAACCTAATTTGGGACTTGTCAGACAAAATGCAGGGAGAGAAAAAGGGAAAGTTTTAGTGCTCACATCAAAAAGACAAGTGTAGCTGAAAGCTCATATCGTCATTTATAAATCATCAACAAGAAAAAAGTTCCATCAGTATCTATGATAGATACTGACAATAGGTCTCCTAGGAGCAAACATGGTCTATAACTGTTATGCCAGCTCAATCAGAGATTTATAAATGTCCGTATTTAAAAATAAACATGGCTGGAAAAATCTAATGATCAAACACTTAAGCAAGTTTAAATTCTATCCTGCAATGAATGTTAAATATCCTTTTGTAGCTATATGCTTTGGCTCTGTAATAAAAGAAATTCTGGTTATCATTATTCTATTAACTACCCCATCTGTTCCTTATACACAAACCAGGGTTTCATGGCAAAAGAGATCAAGAAACACTACCAAGATTAGAAAAATTGGTAACAGCTTTTTAAACATTCATGAGGGTCTCTGACCTATAGAGACTCTTGCAGCAGGACGGCTGCATTAACCATAAATCATAACTTGTAGGAGACACACATGCTTTCATAGAAGTTCCCTAGATGACCATTAGCAAGGCCACCTGGCCTTATGGGGTTTTGCCTTTGAAGAAATCCAATCATCTCAGAAGAAGGAATATAAAACCCGCCAGTTTTAGAGGGGATAAGAAAGAAAGGTAAGAGGCTTTTATTTTTGCCTTTTACTCTGGTCTGTGTGTCAGCTGTGCTTATGCCCTTCCATAAGGAGGGGGAAAGCAACAGCTTCCCCTTCTTTTCTTTCATCATTTGGTGAGTGCAAAAAAAAAAAAAAAAAAAAAAAAAGCAAAAAAGACCTATTCTGCAAGGTTAGCTCGGCACAAGCCCTGCCTCCTGTCCTGTGACCATAACCAAGCAGGGTTCGCGATCAGGGTTCGCGATCAGGAGTGGCATTTCTAGCCGTGACTGCACCACCACCTGCGGTCATCAAAGCACTAACATTCTAAGCTTCAGTTTCCCAGCGGTCACATGAGTGTCCAGGCTGAGAGACGCTACAGCAGCTTAAGTCATGCTTGAGCACAGGTGTCCTCAGTATTCTCTGTCTCGAGGAACGTTGCTGCTTCCTTGAGGGACTTAAAAAATGAAGCAGGGGAAAAGGTCTCCTGGCAACTTCAAGGTGTTAGCGACAATGTCTCCTGCCTAGAGGAGAGAATAAAACCATCAGGAAGAGAGAGCACAGCGGGAGACAGAATGAAGCTTCTCTTATTCCCAAGTCAGCGTAACTGCCTCCATCACCCATGACCACGAGGACCCCATGCTCTACAAGCAAATAGGTTTTCGGGGCAACTGACCTCATGCCTACTCCTTGGCGTGTCATGACAGGAGCGGGCCTGTTGGCGCTGCCCATGAGCTGCTCCTCGACCGCAACAACCATGCTCCAGGACGTTAAAACATCCAAATCAGCAGGGGGAAGGGCCTGGGGAGGGAAGCCTCTTCACGAGGAACTACAGGATTCGTGTCTGAGATATCCGACAATCCTCTAAGCCTGACTCAGTTCCCGATCTCATGATGAGTCCCTGGGAAAATTATGAAAAAACAAAGAAGTCCAGGTCCTGGTCTCTACCTCATCTCCTTGGTCTAGAGTGAACTCAGGCAGGGATATGTTGTAAACCCCCTCAGGAGAATCGTATGTACAAGGATGTTGGATGATTGTGATCCAACCCTCTAAAACTATATCAAAACCGTCTCTTGAATGTAACTCCAACAGTATCATTCTGTGACTGCATCCTCCAGGGTCATTCTAGCACATTCTGGGTAACCCCAAAGAGACCTTTCCATAAAGATCTGAAAGGCTTATGCCTCCGACTGCCTTTCCCAACTCTACTCAGTTCCTCAAGCTCTAACATCCTACTTCTTTTGGATAACCACCGGCAGCTGCAAGCCTGGCCCTCCTGCCAGGCTGGCACTGGGTGGGCTAAGCTCCTGCTGCAGGCGGGACCCTGCTCTGCCAGTACTGAGCAGCTGGGACTGGGTGAGCCCTTCTACCACAATCAAGTAGGAGGGTGGAGAAAACACATGGAACCAATGATTTCAGACACTGTGTAGTAGGCAAGGTAATAAAGGCAATGAGCCTGGCAGTACATTCCAGACTGTGGTGGGGGGCAGGGGGAAACAGAGGTGCAGCAGTTCCCAGAGCTAAGCTAGAATTCGCAGGGTGGGGTACCGTTAAGGACTGTGTGTAGAGAAAGCTCCAGAAGTCTGCATGAGGCGCCCTGGAGACTTGGTTGCGTGCTAAGTCATGTGTGCAGGTGAAGTTCCATGAGACCAGACACAATGACCAGGAACTGTAAACAGGTAATCCCAGAGCCCAGGCAGGGCCGGGAAACTCTCTGCTTCAACAGTCCTGAGCAGAGACTGCTCCTGTGTGAAGGCCACTCAGGGGAGCCGGGAAAGTGACATCCCAGCAGTGGCGCAGAATTAACACCAGTAAACATCACTTTAGCCCCACCCTACAGAACCCAAACAACACCAAAACAACAACACAGGACCAAACTAACCTCAAGAAATTTAGCTGCATCAAAACTTAGTCCTTTTTTTTTTAAAGAAAAACTCCAGCTTCAATACAAAATATATAATATCTTTCGCCAATTGAAACTTAGTAGAGAAGAAAAACTATGACCCTTCATGAGAAGAAAATCAGTCTACTGAAAAAATAGAGAGTGATAGTGCAGAAATTATTAGCAATAGGAAGTCTGGAAGCCGAAGCCCACCTGCACCAAGTAATGTAAGCAAAGCCTCGGGCTGGGGGTGGGGGGGGAGTCCGGCACTTCCCTGCTGGGAGCCAGAAGGGAAGGGGTCTTCCTCAGTCCTCAGTAAAGCAAAACCTAAAAGAACTGATTACTAAGAGAACTGCACCAGAAAAAGATGTTTAAGAACAACATTCTTGAGGCAGAAGAAAAATGACAACACATGGAAATTTGGATTGACACAAAAGGAATATCCTGTTTCTAAGGATCACCTGACACAAGGTCTAGTTCTTCCCTGAACTCTGCATGCTGTGAATGCATGTAGAAGGGCGGAGGGGACACAGAGGCTTTGAAAACTGAACAATATGGCTCAACTCTCAACACCAGATTAACTCAACAGCAAGCTGGAGCCCAGGACCTACAGAAGGAGAGCCAGAATTTCTGGACTTGCTACAGGGGAGTCTCAATCATAAGGGGAGGTCCCATGTTCCCTGCTCCACTTAAGAAAGGGTGAAGCTGAGCAGTGAGAGGGGACTTGAGAAAAGACCTTGAAGATTATAGGAGATACGTGGAGCAGAGACAATGTGAAGGCACATTTGCAGCCTGGTTTCGGGCTTGCACCAAGGAGCTGGGGGTCTTAGACTCCAGATGTGCAGAGACACTGGAAGAGACATGGGTGAGAGACCCGTGGGGCCACTGCCAGCGGCAGCCGTGACCTTGATTTGTGCTTTGATTTTGCTCTTTCCGTCTCACATGTGCCTGACTCCTCCTGCCTCTTTCTTACGGTTCCCTGGCAGAAGCTGACCACAGACTTGTGGCAAGACTTCAGGTATCCAGAGCCCTGCTTTGGGGCAACCCTGTTGCCCAGAGGGCAACTTTGGGTTTTTTATTGGAAAGCTATTATCCTTCTCCTTCTATGCACAATACTCAATTCAAGTTCCTTTGCACTAAGAGACTGCTTTGTCTCACTCACCAAGTGCCACCAGGCAAAGTCCTCTGCTGTCTCTTTCCCTCCCTCCCCCCATCTGTAGCTAGCTGCTTACCAACATACCTATGTACCTATCACAATAATGCTTTGTACCTATATTATTTAAACCAGGGATCAACAAGCTATTTGTGATCCAAATCTGACCCATACTTATTTCTGAAATAAAGTTTCTGTAGAACACAGCGACCCCCATTTGATCATGAACTATCCTGCTTTTGTGCTATGGTGACAGGCTGACTAGTTGCACTTAAGACCATCTAGCGCATTAAAGACCTTAAGACAACAGCATAAGCTATCTAACCTTTTACAGGAAATGTCTGAGGCCTGATGGGGGCTACAGCAGCTTTCAATTGGTGCGAGTATAAGCACAAGCGACACCCCGCTTTCTGCAGCCAGTGGCTTCTTCAGCACCCATCGACTGGACCTGGGGCCCTACATACACTGCCCAGGATGGAAGGCCTTCACCTAAAATAAGCCATATGCTTCAACCCATGTCTACCTATTTACACAGATATCTAGATTACATGGTACTAACTACTAGAGGAATAGGCACATTACTGATCTCTGTCTGGGACAAGTGTGATTCCCTCTGGCGGGGAGTCAGGGTGGATGGGGGAGAACTGCGTGTCTGGAGCCTACCTCTGACACTCGGCTAGCAGAGTGGCTTCTCAGGCTGAGTCAGGCTCTGGGTCCTGTGCGACTCACGTCTGAGAGAAGTCACTGGACCACACAGTTTTTCACGCCTGTTCCCTCCTTCCCTGACTTCCCACCCAACCCCCTTGGCAGGAGCCCTGGGTCATGCCTCCGGGAGCTGGGAGACACGTGACAGGCACAAATACTAACGGGTGTGAGCGACACCACAGTCGCTAGCATTGCCCTAAAGGAGCTTGACAGTGATGAACACTCTACTTTAAAAGAAATAAGTTAAAAATCTATTAAATGAAAGAAAGTACTGAACTTACCTGAACTATTAAAGTAGTAGTGATGTCCTGGGTAACCAACATTGGAGGAAAAAATACCTAAATATGAAGGAAACAAACATTTCAATTGTCACCATAAAGCTCCTTGCCCCCAGCTTCACTGAAGCATGACTGATAAGAATCTATAGCTGCACAATGTGACTTTTAAAGGCATATGAAAGGCGTATTATATGCACACACACACACACACACACACACAGAGAGTGAGAGGATTACCAGCGTCAAGGGAGTTCACACACCCACACCTCACAGATACTATTGTCTATTGTGTGTATGCATATACTTAAGATCTATCCTCAGTAAACTTAAATTATATAATTCGGCATTAAAAAAATATATTTATTGGGCCCTCCCTGGTGGCGCAGTGGGTTAAAGCACAGCACTGAGAATCTAAAGCCACTTCCGCATGAGTTCGATTCCTGCCTGCCCCGGAGGTGACCACATGGTGTGGCAGACCTCTCCTGACCCACCCACTGCTCCCCTCAGCAGTGTACTTCGTCGATCTGCCTGTTCTGCTCCCACTCTGTCTCTGGTGAAGCTTCTCACCGCCCCTGAGCCTCTGGCCTGTACCCCAATTCTGTATGCACAAATAAATAAATCTTTAAAAAATATATATATATATATATATATGTATATATATTTATTTATTTACACATTGAACAACTTGGGTGTAGGCCAAAGGGGAGAGGCTTCACCAGAGACAAAGCAGAGTGCAGAACAAGCAGATCTATTGAAACAGACTGCTGAGGAAGCAGTGGGGAGACAGAAGAGGTCTGCTGCGCCCTGTGGGTCAGCTTCATGGCCGGCCATGGAGCTCAGGCCATTGCGGTGATAGCTCTGAGACTTAACCAGGGTTAAGTGGCCGAGGAGGCCACTCCGACAGTCACCATGCCGGACATATGTCCCCAAGACTTACTCACCTTAGACCTGGGTCTAGCACGCTATGACCTACAGCTCCCTGTTTTGCTCCCCTCAGCCTACTCCCTGGTTCTATGAGCTCAAAATTTCTGTATTGTACATTCAACAAGATAATGCAGTATTTGTCTTTCTTATCTTGCTTATTTCACTTAGTATCAAGTTCCAGGTTCATTTTGTTGTTAATGGCAGAATCAATCACCCTCTCTCTCACATACACACACATTTTCTTCAGGTGTTCATTCATTGACAGATACTTGGGTTGTTTCTCTATCTCAGCTACTTAATGCTGCAATAAATAAAGGGGTACAGATATCACCTCAAGATACTGAATTCACTTTCTTTTGCTCTACTCATAAGTAGGATAGCTGGATCCATTTTTAATTTTTTGAGGCCCCTCCATATATTTTTTCATAATAGAATTTATCTTCCCATCAACAGTGTACCAGGATTCTTTTTTTTTTTTTTAAAAAGATTTATTTAGGGCCCTCCCTGGTGGCGCAGTGGGTTAAAGCACAGCACTGAGAATCTAAAGCCACTTCCGCATGAGTTCGATTCCTGCCTGCCCCGGAGGTGACCACATGGTGTGGCAGACCTCTCCTGACCCACCCACTGCTCCCCTCAGCAGTGTACTTCGTCGATCTGCCTGTTCTGCTCCCACTCTGTCTCTGGTGAAGCTTCTCACCGCCCCTGAGCCTCTGGCCTGTACCCCAGTTCTGTATGAACAAATAAATAAATCTTTTTTTTTTTTTAAGATTTATTTATTTGTTCATACAGAACTGGGGTACAGGCCAGAGGCTCAGGGGTGGCAAGAGGCTTCACCAGAGACAGAGCGGGGAACACAACAGGCAGATCTACGAAGTACACTGCTGAGGGGAGCAGCGGGCGGGTCAGGAGAGGTCTGCCACGCCATGTGGTCACCTCCGGGGCAGGCGGGAATCGAACTCATGCGGAAGTGGCTTTAGCTTCTCAGTGCTGTGCTTTAACCCACTGCGCCACCAGGGAGGGCCACCAGGATTCTTTTTTATCCACATCCTTATCAACTTTTTTTTTCTGAATATTAGCCATTTGAACGCTTCCTGATTTCAATCTATATTACAAAGCTATAGTAATAAAAACAGTATAGTACCAGCACGAGAAACATATCCATCTGTGGAGCAGAAACACCAAAAGGCTATACTGCTGATCTTTCCTATGATTAGGAGTTTCTCTATAACAAAGTCCAAAGTGATTTCAAATGACTTCTAAACAACTAAACAGAAGTGAGTCCTATAGTGAATGAAATGTGGGGGATGGAAGCAGGGAGACAGTAAAACTCTTGACTCATACTCTGAAGTCCCTTAAAGGTTCCTGTTGACATAAAACAGTGTTTGTCTCCCAAGGGACCAAGCTTGGGCTTTGAGTCCTCCAAACACGCTCTGGCTGTAAAGAGAAGGTGTCCTCAACAAGGGAGTCCAGGCTCCATCTAAGGCCTTCTCTTTCTTGTGCCTAGAAAGGCAGGAACGTGAAGTCAACACTGAGGGGATAAGAGGTGTTACCTGAAAGCTCAGTGTGACCCTCCTCTTCTGCCTGGTGGTGGGCGGCAGCCTCCTCACCCACAGTTATTCCCAAAGGCTCCTGTGCCATCTCTCTTCTCAGTCAATCTAGCTCTTTCTCCAGCTTCCCCAGAAAGAAGGCAGAGCAGTCGCAGTCCCTTTGTAACTAGCCCTGAATACTTGCTTCAACTTTTAATACCCAATTCTCTATTGTGTTATGTTGAAAACAGAATGAGATAAAGATGTCTCCAGACAAAGTCAACAGGGTTTTAAGAAGGAAAAGAGTTTAAAATGACATAATTATGGGAAACAACCCTCTTTAAGAATACTTGCCTAAATTCCATAATGTGACTGCAGAAAGATTTACTAACCACTTCATCTTCAGATACAGAAGAAAAAGAACCGCTACATTAAGCTCCCGAGAGTCGATTTTTTTTCTCTATCAGCACTGAGTGCGTTTGGGTAACAAAGCTCATTACGAGATGTCCCTAATTAAGTTGCATCAGAAACGTAAATAAATAAAGCTGGACATTTTCAATAAATGAAGCCTCCTCCAAGCACACACTCTGCAAACTCAGCTAGAAGCAAGTGCAGGAAACGGCATCTGCTTTGAGGCTGCACGTCCGCACTGGACATCTGCACCGACTCCAGGGCAGGCGGCGGCCCAGGCAGGCAGCTCTGTGATGAGGGGCGGGCTCACAGTCCCCGAGAACACCAGCCATCGGCCCAGTTTGTGGCAGCAAATTATTTATGGCTCAAGAAAAGGTAAAACAGTCTCAGAAGACTGCCCATGAATAAAAGATGAAATGTTAGAACTCATATGGTCTATAAAACAAGTGTTTGCAAAACAGTTTGCTTATAAGTCAACACCAGTATAGCATTTTAAATTAAGAGGTCTAAAATATTCATAGATTTCTAAATGGAGCATTTTCATTGAGTATCATGTTGAAGGAAAAGGAAAAAAAAAACAAAAGAGTATTTTTTTTTTTTTTTTTTAAAGCAGGAGCCAACCTTCAGGCAAACAGACAGACTCCAGCCAAGCTTGAATATCTATCTCACCCACTGCAGACCTTGTGGGTCTTTAAGATATTCTTTAAGATACTGGAGCCTGGCACTTGAAAACAGATTTATTCTCCTTTTTCCCCTGTGTTTGTAACACATATTCGTCTGTGGACTGTTACAGAAGAAATGTATTCTTTTAAGCCTGCTTCAGTCCTCTACATTTCCAAGGAACTTATGGTTTTCTGTTAGTAGCATTAACGCTGAGGATAAAAATATATCCCGCTGTGTGTCCCCTAGGAAAGCCTGGGTTTAAAATCTGGTTTGCGGCCTCCCTTTGAAGCAGTGTCAGGAAATATACCCAGTTTCGCCTCCTGGTTTAAAAAGAGCCATCAGGGAATTTCTCACTCTGACCCACAGGGAAAACCAGAGTTGTGTCTGTTCCCATTCAATGAACCTCTTGCTTCCACCTCTCGCTTCCTATCACACCAAAGGATGGCTTTTGCTCTGTACCTGTGCATGTTTCCACGACTTTCTTCAGAGGCCCATGGGTGTACATGAGCCCAACAAGAATCCCGGCAAGGTGTCCAGCAAAGGAAGTCCTAGGAGAGAAGAGACCATGGTGAGCACAGCTGCCTGGACGCGCGCCCGCCCAGCGGCCCAGCCAAGTCCAGGCGCCGCGGCCTGCAGGTGGCTCCCCCACAGCCTTTGTGTAGGCAGCCATGACCTCGGGCCAAAGAACGACGTTTCCTGGAGTCACAGTGAGTTCCACCACATGCTAAGAGGTGCCCACCCAAACGCAAGGTATTGTCCTTGGGGGCAGTGGGGGAGCACATCAAACAGGCCACTCTGCTTCTTCCAGATTTTTTCTGAAGTTCTTCTCACAAAACCTAAAGGACATCTGTTTTCTCTGAGCTAACTCTTGACTGACCCAGTCAGTCCCTGTGAAGGACAGCATCTATCGATGTCCAAGGCAGAGCAGCTAACTGCATTTTAACCTACCACCCACTAGAGAAGCAGAGAGCAAGAGAGACGTGTGAAAAAGGCTGCAGATGTCCAGAACCTGTTCCTGTAGTCACATGCATCTTCGAGCTACTCAGCAAACAGAAACATACCTGTAAATGTCAAACTTGAATGACAACCTAGGGGATTAAATTGCTCCTACTTTTGTTGAAACAGTGTCTAAGGTGGGCAAGTTCTCACTAACAGAAACACAAGGGAAGCCCAGCTAGGTAAGTCATGCATTGCGGTTCTGGTCACACACGCCGGGTGCCCAACAGGCCGTCCTGTGCACCCCATTTGTGTGCAGGACACACCTCCAGGTGTGTGTGATCACACAATGGGGCCACCTAACGGAGCATCTCCCCTGATCTTAAGTGACACAAGACTCTGTGTTAAGTGAGTTAAAGTGTAAATGAAATAACCCCACGGGTCTCCTTGCTCACCAGTGCATCCGGCACACACGGTCACTCTCCCCGGACAGGTGCCTCATGCTACGGTCACCCTGTGGAACTCGCAGACCCTTCTGCCTCCGCAACACGATGAGCGCGGTCAAGGTCCCAACACTAGGCCTCACCTCTTCCTCTGAACCCACTGAACCCACTCCCACAACCACTCCCAGGTCCCCCGTGGCTCCCAAGGGCCCACGCTGCATGGCTCAAATGGCCCGTTATGGACGCTGCAGAGCTGAGCTCTCCCTCCATGTCTTGCTCCACGACTTCTGCCTTTTTCCAACATGTGAGCAGCCTCACTTGTCTTTCTCTCTCTTGTGCACATTCCCTGAAGGCAGACAGGGTATTGGACTCAACTAGTAAGTCAGAAGCTGAAATGAAGAGTTCCCACCCAGACTGGAAAGGGAGCCCTCCTCCCGAAGGCGGGGTGGGGGATCAGGGTGACAAAGACACCTCAGAGCCCAGTGGGTATCCCCAGGGCACCACGCCTGCTGCTCTGGCGTGCGCGCTCCCTACACTGAGGACTGAGCCTACACAGGCAGACGCCTAGGTAGATGTGTGTGGGCCGAATGACTCCGTGTGCCAGGAGGGGTGGGCAAGAGCAATGGGAGCAAGTTAACACTGTGGGGTCTCAGCTCCGAGGGTTCCCAGAGACCAGACTGAGACCAACAACCTCACGACAGCCACAGCAGCGAGTGCTGGGACAGGCCTGGGAGTAGCCCTGGCACGTGGGCCAGAGCCTCTGAGAGAGGGAGACCTGAGGAAAGCACAGGCAATGGCAGACTGGGAGGGCAGGACGGGGAGCCACTGCTCAGACAGCCCCTGATTCTGTCACAAGTGGGAGTCACACCCCCTGTAAGGAAACATGCCCACCTCACAGCACAGGTAACCGGGAGCTAGGAATGCGGGTTTAGACACTGGGTCTGACTTCGAGGGAGGAACAGCATGAACTGTGCTTTTCAAAAAAAAAAAAAGAATGAAAATTGTACTTATTCTATTTTTAGGCTAAATTGAAACTCTCCAACCAGTTCTAGGAATAGAAAGGAAAGTGGTAGTTGAGGGAAACAAAGAAGAGGCCAGAATCAATTTTTAAAAATAGTAACCTCAATTTAACTGGAAAGAATAAAATAACATCAATACTTCAGAAACTTTTTTGTCTAATCTTTATGGTGAATCATATAGATATAAAATAACATGGGAGAAATTTTCAATTTAAAACCCCAACCTATTAAGCGATCAATCTCGAATCTCATTTACAATTTAGAGCACAATACAGCTAAATGAATTTCTTATCTCCCTAAATGGGTTTTCAGAAGTTTGAGTTATAATCTAATTGCCCTAATATAATTGCGAATAACTCAGGAAGGGAGGCTTGCACTGCCCCTCGCCAGCATTCTGCATCTTTCCACAAAAATTGAGCTGTCCTTATCATTTCATTTCAGCCCTGTAAAGGTCTTCTCTAAACTAAAAATAAAAAGATGATTTTATTCAATCAAAACCGAGAATCTCTCAATGGTTCACAACAACGAGGGGGCGTCCAGCAATGAAAACAGAACCACGTGCTTTCCAAGACGCACGTCACCATGCTCGTGCCCTTGGGACACATCTGACAAGCCACCGCCCTCCGCCCTAGGAGACGCGTGTCCTGACAGGAGGCCACAGGAGGTGGGCACCTGGGGCCTGTCTCCCCCAACAGGACTGGCCGAGGCCCTGGACCCTGCCTTTGGGAACATGGTAGACTACCAAGGAGGCCCAGGCTCAGTGGAGAAGACCCCTCTGAGCACAGTGAGGAGCACGGGGGTCTACCTGAAATGTAGCAGCTCTGGAAGGAGCCTCGCAGCTGGTCAGAGTAGTCCTGGTGGCTTTGGGGTGTTCGAGGACTGGTGGCTTCGGGCAGCCATCCTGATAAGCATTTTCTCTCTGCTCTCCGCTGAACCGCATTGCCACTGGGTAAGGCAAGGAGGCCCAGCCACAGCATTTTCAAAAAGACGTCCCCTGACCTCCCCAGGTCTCTGGCCCTAGCCTGGGGCTTGGGGCCAACCCCACACCCTGGATGCACAGGGACAGGACCACCACAGTCAACTCTATCTCCATGACCACACCGACTGAAGCGAATTCGTGATACCATCATTCAATAGATAACCATCTCAAGAGGAAATGGCACACAAATGCAAACATCTCACACCCAGTCAATTGTATCATAAAAACACAAGGTAATTATGTCAGCAGGTAGTAGTAGTTTTAGTACCAAATTTCGCTGGGAAAGTTAGTGACAAACACAGCTCCCTACCACCCTCCCCCCCACACACACAATCACACAGGGATTATACAGAACATGCTCAATAAGAAAACAACAGCACAAAGCTATTATACATCGAAACTGGTCACTTAGGAACTTTATTTCTTATAGCTCAAAAAACTGTAAGAATGACACTTTAAAAAATTCTAAGTTTAGGCCCTCCCTGGTGGCACAGTGGGTTAAAGCACAGCATTAAGAAGCTAAAGCCACTTCCTCATGAGTTCGATCCCCACCTGGTCTGGATGAGACCACATAGCTGGGAAGACCTCTCCTGACCCGCCCGCTGCTCCTCTCAGCAGTGTGCTTTATCAGTCGGCCTGTTCTGCTCACCACTCTGTCTCTGGTGAATCCTTTCACTGCCCCTGCATCTCTGGCCTGTACCCCAGTTCTGGATGCACAAATAAATCTTAAAAAAAAAAAAATTGTAAGTTTGATTAAATACTGGCCGCTAGTGAGATACCATCATATCTCAACTTCAGAATGAGTTAAGTGTCAGTGCAGTTTTATGTTAATAGTCAACAATACCTTAGCCCAGGAGTCCTCAAACTTGCCTAGGTTTTAAGCACTTTTAAATGCCTTATGAAATTCACAAATACTGCCTGCGGAAGAAGCACAAGTGCAGAAACTACGTGGCCTGTGACTGTAAGAAGCTGACCCATGGCTCTCTGATGAATAACTCAGCACACATTGAGGCGTTTCAGCTCAGCGCCTAGTCTAAGGAGCGACGAGTCACCTGCCAATGAAGGAAGCCCTGAGAACTGCGTTGTGAGGTAATTTCATCCAAAGCCAACCTGAACAGTAGATTTTGTATTTAGAGGACACGATGAACAAACACGAGATAAAATCAAGTGCCAGGCAAAATATCCCTGCAAAGAGGCACAGCAGACAGGTGCAGCTCTAACACAATGTGACAGTGGCTTCAGAGGCGCTAGGAGGTGGGACTCTGGGGACCACTGGTGTCTCTGTGGGTGGCCAAAACACTGTCCTGTTTCTCACAACCTCAACTGGAAAAACATTCTGTCCTCAAATCCCATCCCGAGGCAGCCACTAATGAGATTACTTAAGTTTAGTGACATGTCCATTTTCACGCTGCACTGTTGCCTCTAAAGACGTGACCTACTTCTTGCTCAAGTCCAACTTCCGGCAGTCCTTTCCTTGAAAGTCAGGGAAATGAAGTCTGTGCTCTGTAAGTTCAAAATAAGCCTATGTTCCAGCACCTTCTTTATGGTGAGTGTGGAGCAGCTGCTGCTGCTGAAGCAGGGCCCTCAGACCTGTCTCGTGGCAGCCTTTCTCTCCTTTGGGCTTGCAGGGTTTCCTCTTTTCTCTGAGAAACTGTCAATCCACTACACGGCTCTGGTGGAGGGTTTGTTTGCTCTCCCTGCCTTGAGATCTGCTGTGCTTCTTCCATGTGACGTCTGCCCCCATTGCATGATTCTGAAAAACCTGCAAAGTCCTACTTTGTGCCCCACTGACCTCCACTAAAAAGCAACACTTGTGTGTTTCCTACCACACCACCGGGCTCAACCATGTTTATAGAAAAAGGCTAAAATTAACAAAAAAAAAATTAAATCAATTCTACACTCCCCCAACATTACCTACAAGGGGCTGGGAGGAGGAAAGGCCATTTCAGCACAAAATCAAGAGGAAGATATTACTAGGAGTTACAGATCAACGATATTTCAATAAAGCTGGAAAAAGGATATTATTTAAGTTATGCAAACTCTATGCAGATATCGACACCAACATGGAATGTCCCTTCTTATCAACCCTGTATCAACTGATCTTTCAAAGATCAGTTCTAGCTCCCCAGGGCAACTGCTAGAAATCAAAACCAGAGCCATGAGTGAAAGCT